AAACAGAAAACAGCAAAACATCAACAACCAGCTAGGAACTATATACCCTATTGATTATGAACTAGTGTGGCTGTAGATGGTCCCCAGTCAGGCAAAGCTTCGGAGGACACCACAGCCCCACGCACGGAGTAGAACCACACCTCGACCCCAGACCCACGGGGATGGTCTATCGTAAGGGCTTATTACATCGGCTGCTGAACCTAGGACCCTTGATCAGCGGGAGAAAGGACTCTACTAGGGTCTACTGAGTGCCAGGACCTATAAGCATCGCTGTGTACCAGACTGGTTTACGGTGATAAATCAGAGGAACACTGTGTCCCTCTCAAAAGCTGTGAGACTGAGCTGGAGGGACAGCTGGCGACAGTGCTGGAGAAGCTGAGAGGATGCGATGACCAGCCTGGAATCATGGAGGCTTCCTTAGGAGGGGAAATCTGAGGCAAATTGGGGAGCTACAGAGGGCTCTGTGGGCCACAGGAGCAAGAGCTACCCCAGGAAGAGGCAGATAAGACACAGGAAGGCAGCCCGCCCACGGGGATGGAGTGGATGTGGGATGTAGTGAAAGTCTGCATGGAGGACCGAGGGCCTCAAATGCCACTCCAGCCTAGGACTTGTTCTTCCAGCCCGTGGGGAGGAGGCTGAGCTGAAGACGTGGCTGGTGAGATGCAGCGGATGTGTCAACAGCTGAGGGAAGCATGGGGCAGGAGAATTCCAGAGGCTGGGCTGGCAGAGGAAGGCCGGGGAGGAGAAAGAAGCCCTTCTAAGCTGAGGCAGAGGAACTGACAAAAATTGGGGTCTAAATGGATAGGTGGACGAGGGGAGAGAGGAGGAAGAAAATCTGCCAGGTTGTTGGCATCTGATTGTGCCTCTTATTAGGTGAGTGTGCATAGGCTCCACATCAGGTACTTGCTGGCAGAGGAGGGAGAAGGGATGAGTTAGCCTAGTTGGATTTGCCTTGGTGCTGAAACCGAGAGATGGGTAGGCAGCACAAAGCTATTTATTGGGCCGCCTGGGCCGGGAATGGTGGCGGGCATCCCTGCAAAGGAAATGGATGAGTCCTACCAGCACTCACCTGCTGCCCATAGTCCAGCGCCCGGTCGTAGAGCGCGATGCCTGCCTCCAGCACCTGTGCGCGCTCCTCTGGACTGGCACAGCCCACGTCGAAGCCGTGTGCGTATCCTTGCTCTGCCAGGCAGCGGGCGGCACGGAGCCGTGGGTCTCCTGAATCCTCGGGGTCCCCTGCCAGGCCCATGAGGGCCGCCAGTCTCGCGGCGCACGCCTCCTCCTCTTCCTCCTGGCCCAGCTGCCCGTAGACGTGTGCCAGATTGGCCCAGGCGTTGAGGTTGCCAGGGTCTTCGCGGGCCACCTCCAGGAAACGCTCGCGGGCCTCGTCCAGCTCCTCCAGGTAGAAGGAAAAGGTTCCCAGGAGGTGACGCACGGCAAGCAGCTGCGGGGAGGCCACCAGCTCCAGCTCCTGCCGCAGACCCTCCCGTTGGAGCTTCAGGTCCCGAGTGCGCAGCTGAGCCGGTGAGCGCGGCTCGAAATTGAGCTGCATCTCCAGGTGGAAGTGGCCGGGCAGGTAGTCCAGTTCCTCGATGAGGGTGTCCAGGTCCTCGGCCCCAGCCTCGGGCTCCGCCATGGCTGCCCCTGGGCTGCCCTGGCCCCTCCTAGCTCCCAAGGCTTCGGAGGACAGTGGATGGGGCGGCCCGGAGGGAGCCCCGCAAGACGGTCCTGGGCACCTCTTGCAAGTGGGTGGCTCCCAGAGCCGGCCGAGGGCTCGCCCTCTAGGTGCTTCCGCTTTCGCTGCTAGACATCAGTATTGCACAAACAGGTGTGCCTGAAAAACAGGTGTGGTCCGTTGCCACAAACCCGGTGAGTGGCGAAGGCAGATTTTGACTACTCAGCAGACGAAGGTCAGCTTAGAAGGTCACAGAACCAGGGCATGCCTAAAAAGACCTGGAACCTCAGGTTGCCCAAGCCGGCCCGGTCCTTTCTCCATTGGCACTGCTCCGCCCTCCATATGGAGCTGTCAGGACAGGCCCTTCCAGCTGCGCTAGCCTTCCTCACTCCAGCGCTGTGGTGTGGCCCAGTGCCCTTCCGCAGAACACAGCAGGCCAGGTCTTTCTCTGGCCATTATGGATCTAGACTCACTTGACTATCTCTGTACTCAGCGGTGAGCCCAGACGGCAAGAATCAGGCACCCAAGAGCTGCGGCTACTTTTTCTTCTCCGTCCCTAATAAAGCACAATTCCTTATGCTCCTCCCGGATGCAGTCACCTCTGTGGGGCGGAGAGATAGAGAGGTAAACTGAGGAATGCTGCTCTGGATATGCGTGGGCTGCCCTTCTCTACGGACTAGTGCCCAGCTGGTCCTGCTCCCTGCCCCGGACCTCAGTTTCCTTGCGCTATCTTATCTCCCTCGCAGGTTGGAGCGGTCACCCGGCTTCCAGAGTGCAGGTTGGACTGTGGTGCCCAGTGTGGCAAGGCTTCCCGGCAGGTCTGGACCTTGGACTGACTCTTTCTCACAGATCCTGTGTTTGGGCTCTTGTCTCACCCTCCTCGGAAGGATTTCACAAAAGAGGGGTCTCCTTAGTGAATTTGAGGAAAACACTACTTCAGCAGTATTTTCAAGTCAAAACATTTGGGTGCTGTTTTTACCTACTAGCTTTAGATTTGAAACACAATACACTTAATGGTTTTTTGTTTTTGTTTTTCGAGACAGGGTTTCTCTGTGTAGCTTTGCGCCTTTCCTGGAACTCTCTCTGTAGCCCAGGCTGGCTTCGATCTCCCTGAGTGCTGGGATTAAAGGCGTGTGCCACCAACGCCCGGCTACATTTAATATTCTTTAGTGCCTAGTTTACCTTAAGTTGCTATCCATCATGGGCTGAAACAATCTCCCATTGCTTTGGAGTATTGGGAGGAATTTCCAGAGAGCTTTGCTTTTTAATTTTTTTTTTCAAATTGTGGCAGTATAGTTCATATATAAAATTCCAAGTGACTTAAAAAAAATTTATTGTGTGTTTGTGCGGTGGGGGCACACGTGTGTCATGGCATCCCTATATAGATCTGAGGACAACTTTCTGGAGTCCAGTTTTTTCCCCTTCATTTGGGTTCTGGGGCTCCAACTCAGGTTGTCAGGCTAGGTGGCAAGGGCCTTTACCCGCTGAACCATCTCCCTGGCCAAAATTTTTCTGTTTCTGTTTGTTTTTTTGAGACAGGGTCTTTCCATATAACTCTGGCTGGCCTGGACTCACTATATAAACCAGGCTGGCCTCAAAACCACATAGATCAGTCTGCCTCTGCCCTTTGGTGCACCGCCACACCCAGGCATTTTAACCGGTTTTTAACTGTACAGTTTATTGGCATTAAGCATAGTCACATTATCACCACCTTCCATTTCTGAAACCTTTTCATCTTCCAAAATTGAAACTCCACATCTATTTAAATAATCACTCCCACCAGATGTGGTGGCTCATGTTTTAGTATCAGTTACTCAGTAGGAGGCCAAGGCAGGGGGATTGCTAGTTCAAGGCTCACCAGATTGGCCGGGCAACATGCGAGACCGTCTCAAAATAAAAATAAAAATTTTTACAAGGATTGGGGATGCAGCTCAGTGATGGAGAAAGGATTCCATACCAGTCCTTTCCCAGCCCAAATCCTCAAGTGCCTGGTAATTGCCATCTCACCTTCCCTTTCCACAACTGATTATTTTAACACCTCATGCAAGTGAAATAATATTTGTTCTTTTCTTTTTCTTTCTTTTTTTTTGGGGGGGGGGTGTTCAAGATATAGTTTCTCTGTGTAACAGTCCTGGCTGTCCTGGAACTCGCTTTGTAGACCAGGCTGGTCTCAAACTCTGCTTCCCAAGTCCTGGGATTAAAGATGTGTCAGCACTGCCCAGCATATTTGTTCTTTTGTATCAGGCTTATCATTTAGTATAATGACTTCGAGCTTAATCCATGATGTAGCACGAGTAAGACGTTCCCTTTTTATTTTTGCATTTTTTTTTTCCAGACAGGGCCTCCGTGCGGTCCAGGTTGACTTCATACTCACTGTGCAGCCCTGGCTGGTCCGGAACTCTCTCACTGCTGTAGGACCCCAAATGCTGGGATTGCAGGTGCACACCACCACTGTTGGACAGCTTTTCCTCCCTTTTTTCCAGACAGGGTTTCTCTGTGTAGTTTTGGTGCCTGTCCTGGATCTCGCTCTGTAGACCAGGCTGGCCTCGAACTCACAGAGATCCTCCTGGCTCTGCCTCCCGAGTGCTGGGATTAAAGGCGTGGGCCACCATGGCCCAGCATTTTTCTCCCTCTTTAAGGGTGGGCAATATGCCATGGTCTGTATTGTCTATACCTATCACTCTTTGTTCATCCATCATTTGCTGGTAAGAACATGGGTTGTGGTAACTGTGAATGATGCTGCTACAAGCAGGGGTAGTGTGTGTGTGTCCTGATATTGTGGCACACACTGAGAAGTGGAATTGCCGGGTCACACTGTAATTCCATGTTAATTCTTTGAGGAATGTCTGTGCCGTTTCACAGCAGCGGAACCACTGCATTTTCCCATCGACAAAGCACAAAGGTTCCGACCTCTCTACATCCTTGTCAACACATGTCCTTTCCTCTAATTCTGTTCACATTCACATCCTGATGGGTGGGCTAGGATTTTGATCTGACTCTAAAAAGAGGAGTCGGCGTCGGGAGAGAAGGGAGTAAGTGTGTGAGTATGTGTGTTATAGACACTGGAAAGGTTTGAAAAGGTTTCAAACCAGTGGTTTCTCAATGCAACTTAGGGTGCACCCCGGGGCTAGAGCTGCCCCTAACTGGAGCTCACAGAGTGTGGGGAAGAGGTGGCAGAAGATAAGATAAAGGTAGAGGTGAAAGCCCCTCACAGAGTCTCCATCCTAGCTGAGAAGCTTGGCTTGATTGCCCTGGCAATGGAGTCTGGGTAGCTACAGATCTCTCAAGTGTTGAGTCCTGGATGGACTGTGACTACATAATCTTATTAGATGTGACCAGGACAATTTATTCTGTCTGTGTCTTAGCTTCCTTTCCTGCATAATGAGAGTGGGGATGGAGAGGTTGTGGTAGCACCCGTGAAAGAGAATGAATGAGTTGGCCAGACAAAGAAGTTTCCATCACGGGGAGGGGTTGGACTGTCCAGGGCAGAGGCCTCGGTACAGAGCTGACTCTCGCTGGCCTGCTCCCTGTCTTGCAGCCGGGACTCTGACCCATGGACCTTGGTTTGTATCTTCTCCTCCTCCTTCAGTCATCCTGCAGCCAAGAGGATCACTGTAAAAGAGAAGACACAAGCAGCTGCAGGCATTCCCACAAGAGTGCCAAAGGAGGCCCAGGCTGGTAGAAAGGCCTCCTGCTCGGTGCAAGGCCAGCCACAACTCCATGGCACATCAGCAGAGCTCTCCAAGGAAACCCCAGTCATCTGTCCTGTCCCAGGTGGGGAAATGGAAGCCTGATGAGCGTACCTTGTCCAGGGTCACCAGCTAGGAAACACCAAAACCAGGCTTCCGATGTATGAGTCACCGAGAGATTGCACTACATTCATTGACTCATTTCTCATCACTCAACAAATGTTTACTGCCCATTTCCCAGTGGCAAGTACTGTGGCAAGAGTGAACGAAACAGTCCCTTTCTGTGGGCCTCTGAGAGGCCCTTCCCAAGGGCTAGGTATGACTCTGAACTCTTGCCTTGGAAGTAGGTCATTTAATCTTCTCAGGAGTCTGGGAGATAGAATATTGCTTCATTTTTCCAGGTAATGGTGCTGAGACTTAAGGAGATGACTTTCCTGAGGTCCCCATGCTGGCGAGGGATGGAGGCCATGGCTGATGCCTCTGACCACCAGCTCAGTGGTGTACTGTGGGTACGATATCAGCTGTGACTTATGTGGCTACCAGGCCTGGAATCAGAAGTCCAGCTCTCCATTTAAATACCAGCTTTGGTGGTGGTGGGTAGTGGTGGGGGGCTGTAAGAGGCCTGCCGTGCCTCTGGGTTGCCATTGGTTGGATGCAGGACTGCCCATGTCCTCTGTCTAACTCCAGCTATCCTGTCACCCTGGGGAGCGGGGTGTAGGTAGATGTTTGTTCCGTCTTGGCAGGATCTGATAATGATAGAGAGACACCAGACATTTTCATAGCACAGCCAGAGGATGCTCTCTGTGGGGGAAGGCAGGAGGAGGAAGAGCTGGTCGCGCCAGGTTGGGGGCACACCCTCCCCTCCTTTCTTCACTGAGTGAGCGCTTCCTTGTTTGGGATTCTACTCTTTGAAGCTTGAAGTATCTGCCCACCCCCACCTCCTCCCTGCAGCCTAGCCAGGCTGCGTAGGTCGTTGGTTTTCCCACCATACGCAGAGGACAAGGACCACATTTGGGTTGGGGACATTCTTCAGTGTCTGCTCAGAGTGGGTGTCTGAGTATGGACCGGTCCTGATGCGACTATACATCCCACTGATGTTCCTAGACCCTTCCTTCACCTACCTCTCCACCTTACTTGCCCTCCCCGAGTTCCTCCCAGTAGGGAAGGAACAGAATTCCCAAGTCTGCTCTCCCGTCGGTTTCTGTCAACACAAGGTGGGCATGAAGGCGATTCCTGCCTGAGCCTGGGCTTTCCCAAGTCGGAGCAGAAATAAAAGGATTCTCACCAAGTGACAGGAACACTCTCTTTAAACCCCAGGAGGGATCCTCAGGTCTGCGGGATCCCGAGAAGGGTCTCTGGGGAGGCCGCACTGGGAATATAAAAATGAATGAAAACGTCAGGGGGCAGGCAGCACGCTGGGGAGGTCCCACGCGGCACGAAGCCGGTCTGTGCTTGCTGAATCACAACGCCCGGGTTGCGGGTTGCCTTGGCAGCACGCGATGTCAGGGCGGTGTTGAGTGCGGGGGTGGGGGCAGGCTGGAGGCCGGGTTCAGCGGGACTCCATGTCCCCCGCGCAACACCATGTCCACCACCACCCCGAAGTGGTTCAAAGGGGCGCCCTTCGGGGTGCAGAGTCACAGGTGGGGCCCAGCTGCTTCTTGGTCTGGCATCCAGAGTCCAAGGGAGTTCCTGTGGGCCCCACCAGCTCCTCTGACCCGGGAGAGGGAGGCTAATCCAGAGGCCTGGAGCCCGGGGAGGAAGGGAAGAGGGCCGGCTCGCCCCTCCCCCACCTCTCACTTCCCGGCCCAGGCTCTGCCACACTGAGTCTTTCCTCCTCCTCCTCCTCCTCCTCCTTCTCCTCCTCCTCCTCCTCCTTCTCTCTTCTCCTCCTCTTTCTTTTTTTCCTCCTTCATCTTCCTCCTCCTCCTCTCCCCAGCTCCTTCTTCTCACTATGTAGCCCTGGCTGGCATTGAACTCACAAAGATCTGCCTGCCATAGCCCTCTGTGTGCTGGGATTAAAGGGCGTGGACAACCACGCCTGGCCTCTAAGTTCTTTTGTTTTCTGTTACACTTCTGTAATAAGTTCTTTAAACTATTTCTAGAACATCTTCTTTTGTAACATATTCAGAGAGGCCACAGGCCCTGTCCATAAAACACTCAGCTAAAAAGTTCTGAGTGGGTTTGCAGCCCAGAGGTCATATTTCTTTTCTTTCTTTCTTTTCTTTTTGAGACAGTCTCTCTACATCACCCTGGCTGTCTTGGAACTCATTATGTAGACCAGGCTGGCCTCAAATTCACAGAAATCCACTTGTCTCTACCTCCCAAGTGCTGGCATTAAATGTGTGCAACACTATGCCCAACTGCCATATTTCTCTTTATATTATATTTAATATAGTTGTGTATAAATGACCCGTGTGTCACACATGGTTCTAGGATCTGAGGTCATGAGGTGGTATGGATAATAATCATATATATATGTTATTAAAAGTATATTAGAGCCGGGCGGTGGTGGCGCACGCCTTTAATCCCAGCACTCGGGAGGCAGAGCCAGGCGGATCTCTGTGAGTTCGAGGCCAGCCTGGGCTACCAAGTGAGTTCCAGGAAAGGCGCAAAGCTACACAGAGAAACCCTGTCTCGAAAAACAAACAAACAAACAAAAAAAAAAAAATATATATATATATATATATATATATATATATATATATAAAAGTATATTAGAGATGATGTCAAGTGTACACGATGCAGTGTAGCTGTCTAGAGGTGGGGAGGATGATAAGGACTTGGGAACAAAGGATGAAGCTGTGAGGAGAAGCAGAGCTTAGGTGTGATGGTTAGTGGCAGAACATCTCTGGAACGCTCAAAACAATGAAGCAGATCCAAAGTCACTTCCATGGGCCAGCTAAAGTCATCTCTCCTGGGAAACCAGCTCCCTTGTCCCCCAGGGCTGCCCCAGCCGGGACCAGATGCCAGGCATTGGGTTCTCACTTGGCTACATAACTCTCTAGGTTTGATGTCTCCTCTGTTTATCCTAACAAGAAGAAGTTAAGCACCTTCACAGAGGCCCCGTACTCCAGGCATCATTCTGTGGAACAGGTGAGCCTGCCTCCTCTCACGGGGTCCGTGTCCCTCGCCCTACCCACCTGTGCATGCTCCCACCCAAGCCTGGCTCCCACCCGGGCTTCAGCTGTGTTTGACAAACTCCGGACCGTGGAGGAAACCCAGGAGTTTGGGGGCAGCAGGCTTCCTTCTAGACTTCAGCGGCAGCCTGGTTCTACACTATACTTCCCTGAAGTGGATGGACGGGGCCAGTGACAGGGGCAGTCAGGACTGACTCCTGAGTGCGGAGCCCCTGAGTATCAGCTGGGGGACTGTCTGGTTCCATTTCCAGGTCAAGGGAGACTTGGGGGAGGACTTGCTGGGGGGTGGGGTGGGAGGCTACATAGTTATGACTGACTCAGCTCTGAGCCTGTTCTGATTTAGTCCCATATAGGACCTGGGACCTATAACTCCAAGGATACGTGCTTCAGTAAGAAGTTTCTGGAACAGAAGTTGGGCACGGGCTGGGCTCGGGCCCAAGAAGCCACTCGGCTGACCCAGCTACCCCACTTCCAGTACCAGTCCATCATGAAGGAAAGACAGCAGCAGGTGAGACTTGGAGCATGGTCCTCCCCACCTCCAGGAACCAGGCTTCCTGTCCTGACGGCCATTCCTTCAGAGTCCTGGTGGACATAGCTTCCTCTTGGAGAGCACCATCATCCCCTGGGCTCCTTCCTGGCCCGACCTTCCCTGGTCTCTTCATCCTGCCGTCTCTTCTGTTGGGGCAGGTGCACAAGCTGGGGCCTGGCTCCTACAACTTCAAAGACTTCTTAACCCAGCTGCAGCAGAGACCACAGAGCAGGCGCGGACTGCTCAGCTCCGGGGAGACCCGCTTCCGAGGACTCATCGGGGTAGGTGCTGGTGTCCCTCGGGCCCTCTGTCCTTGGCGGGAAGAGTGTGGCAGCTTTGATAGTTTGGGGAGCACCCTTCTTTGAACATGTCTCTTCCAGAAGGGACGGATGTGGTTCACCTCCAGGTCTCAGACGAAACCTAGAATGTAGTAGAAGCTCAACAACCAATTTGCCCACTTAGCTGTTCAACCAGGAAATAATGATGCAGCAACAATGGAATGCATGTTCTGAACTAGGCCTCGCGGGGGTGGGGGGGTGGGGAGTCCAGCACCTGGTCGGGGTGCTGAGGGGGAAATCACACAAGGAAGGAGAATGCTGTGAGGTGGTGTTCAGAGAGCAGTCTGGGAAGGGCCCTCTGGAACAAAACAGAGGGGACTCCGATACCTGACTCTTGTGCTAGAACGTTCCTGGAAATGGGAACAGTATAGGCCAAGGACCAGAGGTGGGAATATGCTTGGCTAGTTAGAACAATAGACAGTCAGGCTAGAGAGAGCTGGTGAGGTGGGAAATGAGGGGGTCCGGAGTGAAGGCTGTAAGGAGGGCCTTGCAGCCAAGGGAAGGCCTTCAAGTGTCCTCCTGGGTGTTGTGAGAGGACACTGAGGTCTGGGGAGGCCAAGGACTTGACTGACAGGTTTCCTGCGTGTTGATTGCAGGGGCTGCTGCTGACTTGCTTTGGATCAAGTCAGCACAGTTAGGGACCCAGCTTCCTAACAATGGGGTTTTCTCTGGAATACACTATGGCCCTCTGAGCCATGGGAGGAAGCAAGACCCATCTCATTCTTCTGGGGCCAGACAGATGGGATCCTCAGGGTGGTCTGATTTTCCATGTGCAGGTCCCGCCTCCTCTGCTAGGTCTGGCTCCCCTAGGGTCTGGTTGCTGGGCCCAGAGGTGAGGTGGGCTGCATCATCTGCGTAGCTGCAGTGCCACCATGTGGCTACAAGGTGCATATCACCCAAGACAAGCCCCACCTCCCTGCACCACAGATGAACGCTGCTCACTGTACTTCAAAAAACCAACTTCTGACCCTAGAAGCTAAACCAGGCTTCTGATCCTATCCTAACCGCAGTTCCTCTGCCCCTAAAACTTTCAGTCACCACACCCCGACTTGTGTGATGGGACCTACAATGTGCCAGGCCCTGGGCAGAGGGCTTTGTAGACATTCTGCTTTATCATCCTTCCCTGCAGGAAAGTATTACCATCTCTGTGTTAGTCCCATGGTCCATGAGGCTCAGAGGCCCAAGCTCCCCCAGCTAGGAAGCAACAGAGCCAAGGGTCCCAACCTAGGACTCGGGGTGCTCATCTATCCCAGCCTGTTCACAGCACAGTGAGGAAGCCGGTCACAGAACTGTAGGTGTGGGAGACGTACTCAGCCTGCAGACCAGCTAGCTGCCTGTGTGCTGGGGAGGAAAGTGTGGGTCCCAGGAGAGATGGTGTCTGGGGATCTTTGCAGGGTTGCTATGATTGCCCAACCAGAGGGTAGGAAGGGAATCCTGGGGTGTGGGTGAAAGCATTGTTAAACAAACAAGAGCAGGGAGACCAGGCCGGATGCCAGGTGCTGAGGCGGCGGCAATGTAGCTGGACTTGAGTTAAAGGTGTCAGTGATGGAGGAGGAGACTCTCGGGTGATGCTGGGTGGTGGGGTGGGTAACACACGCACAATCTGAAAACCTCGTTTCTCTTGAGGTTTGAAACCCCAGGCATTTCTTCCTCAGGTGAGCCAGCACAAAATGTGGGCCCGGCAGCCTTTGTGTTTCTGTCTCCTGCCCCGCAGAACTATTATCCAGGCCCTGGAAACTACGGGGAGAAGGGTAACCCATACACGCGGCTGGAGGAGAATGCCTGGAACCGCTCTCATTCCGAGGGCCTCATGTGTCGGATGTCCAACAAGCCGCCCCCCTTATCTCACCAGGTACCCCCCGCCAGGCTCATCCCGCATGGTCCTGGAGGATGATGACCTCAGGGGCGGGGAGGCTCAAGTCCACCTTGGTCATTCCCCTATAGGCACCTACACCACTTTCGTCTCTAGGGCAGTGGCCTGGGACCTGGGACCTACACCATCAAAAGTGACATTGAGAGCTATGTGGCACGATCCACTGGTACTCGTGGCCCCTATGACATTTTCTCTGGTGAACGAAGCAAGCCTGTGCCCTATGGACATTATTCCACACAGGTATGTGCCAGGGTGGGCGGCGGTGAGGTCCACCGCTTCTGCCAGGGTGGGATATGGTTCCCCATGTTAGGTGAGGGGCCAGAGCCAGGCTTTGCACATCTGATCCTATGGCTAGCTCTCTGCTCAGCACCACCATGAAATGCACGGATAGACTGATGGTCCAGCAGGCAGGGCTGGTGAGTCAACCGCCAGGCCTGCGGGGGACCCCAAGGGCACAGGTGCAGGCTTCCCGGACAAAAACCTAGCTCAGTGAGTGCCAGGGCTCTGGGTGACAGAGCCCCAAAGTGGGAGAGGAGGTGACAGAGGTAGAGATTTTGCTTGCCAGACCCATTTCCCATCCCATCCAAATCTTCTACGGGATTTCACAGTTTTTTCTGTGTGTTGCTGTCTTCACGCTTATGGCTAAAGGGACCGCCGTACGTGTCCAGACCTGTCTGTCCTGCCCCCACCACGGAGTCACTGTGTGAGCAGGATGAAAGCAGTTCACAGACTAGGTGCAGGGAAACAGCCCGCGTGGAACTTCCGGTCGAGGGGAAGGGAAGCACCATCAGCCAGGAGTAGGAGAGAACCTGCAGCGTTAGTGGGGAACCACTGTGGAGGCAGATGGTGTTAACAGCGCTAGGAAGGAGATGGTTAAAGTGGAAATAGCTGTGAGCCGCTTGGTAAAAAGTCACCATCCTGTGTCCCATGACGTGGCTGATCTCAGGGCCTCCCAGATCTACTTGCCGCTAAGGCCATGTGCCCAGCACAGCAGGGCCTTGGGAACCATTTGGACCTCCTATACCCCCCCCCCCCCCCCCCCCCCCCCCTCCCCCCCCCCCCCCCCCCCCCCCCCCCCCCCCCCATCCCTCCATGCCCTGTTGCTACTACAACCAGGGCTGGACATCTTTGTTATGAATTTTATTTTTAGGGCAATTTTAGATTCACAACAAAATTGAGAGGCAAACAGGGAGTTTCTGCATACTCTTTGCCTCCTGTACCACATACAGACCCCCTCCCCCATAAATCTTTGGGGTTTTTTTTTTGTTGTTGTTGTTTTTGCTTTTTTTTTTTTTTTTTTTTCGAGACAGGGTTTCTCTGTGTAGCTTTGCGCCTTTCCTGGGACTCACTTGGTAGCCCAGGCCGGCCTTGAACTCACAGAGATCCACCTGGCTCTGCCTCCCGAGTGCTGGGATTAAAAGTGTGCACTACCACCACCCAGCAACCCCATAAATCTTTTAAAATGTACGTTCATTTATTTCTTTGGGCGTGCGGGTTTGTTTCATGGCATGCTTGTGGAGGACAGAAAACAACTTTCAGGAGTCAGCGTTCTGCTTCCACCAGGTGGAAGGAGATCAAACGCCTTGGGTCCTAAGATCCAACTCAGGAGTTCAAGCTTCACTCCAGGCCCTTTACCCATCCTCGTCCCCTGCTCCGCTGTCAAAGTCCCACACCAGAGTAGTGCACTTGTCAGTCAAGGGTCCTCAGGCACTCGCCATCCTCATCACAAGCAGTAGTTTTACAAACTGATTCTCTTCACTGGAGTCAGTCTATGCGCTGGGTTTTCTTTTGTTTAGTTTTTCATTTTCATTTTCTTTCTTTCTTTCCTTCCTTTTATTTATTTATTTTTTTATAAATCTGGGCATGATCTCATATACCTTTAATCCCAGCATTCTAGAGGCAGAGGCAGTTGGATTTCTGTGAGTTGGAGGCTAGCCTGGTCTATACAGCGAGTTCCAGGCTAGCCAAGGGTGCATAGTGGAATCTTATCTCAAAAAACAAAACAAAATAAAAATCTAAAAAATGTATGTATGTATGTATGTATGTATTTATTTGTGTGTGTGTGTGTGTGTGTGTGTGTGTGTGTGTGTGTGTACACCCTGGCACGTGTGTGGACATCACAGAGCAACTCCTGAAGCGAATCCTTTCCCCACGGAGTTACCCTGCCAGCCCATTCTGTGAATTTGGACTCTTGTGTTTGGACACAGTAGTTTCACTAGCTGGGGGGAAAATCTGTGCTCAGACTTGGTTTTAAATATTTGAAATACTATCCCTGACTGGCACAGCGGGTGCTGAGTAAGTGAGAGAAAGAAAAGAAAGGCATGGATAACGGCCGGCCGGGTGGCAGTGTGTGCACATGCCGGCCTGGTGCCAGCACAGTCCGATCTGGCACAGAGAGGTGGGTGGTACCTCGTCAGTGCCACTTGCTTTTCTGTGAGGGCTCTTGAGCCCATGACCTTCCTGAGACAACATTTCTTTTTCTCTTCCCATTCCTCAGAAAAAGAAACCCCGGGAACCAACGAGTTATAAGAGCTTCGTGGACGAACTTAACTCAGCTCAAAACAAGAAACGTGGGGTTTTTTCAAAATATCCCCGAGAACCGAAAAAACCCACAGAGAGAATTTTTTGGACCACCCTTAGTCAGTACCCCAGAAATATGGTCAGTGTACCCCACGGTCTGTTTTCTCTCTTGGAAGGCAGCTCTCCAGTAGGCTAGGGAGGTTGGGGGAGGTGGAGGGGGCAGCGGTCAGGTCGGGTGGGAAGCTGTGTCTTTGTCTGCCAGCCTGGCCTTGACCTGGTCAGTCACTTTCTGAGCCTCGCTTCACACACCTGGCCTGTGAACGCAGCCAGTGCGTGAGCAGCTGTGATCAGGATGACTGTGTAGACCCTCGTAGCTGAACCAGGCCACCAGGAAACCCCAGCCAGGGATGTTTTCCTCCCTGCCCTCCCTCCCCTGGCCTTAAAGATCTGGAGAATGGGCAAAGAAGGCCGGGTAGGATGGAGTGTGATAGGGTCCATCCTCAGGTTTGCCTACCTGCTCTACCCAGGGAGGGGCCGGTCTCTACCTCCTCAAGGCAGTCCTCTTGGGGCACAGTGGCCATTTCTCTGAGTGGGACCTGGCAGCGCCTGCCCAAGGGAAGGAATGAAGTAGGGGAGGCTAAGGGCGTGGACACTCTGACCCCTGCTAAACCACTGTCCATCCTTCTCCCAAGGGAGGTTGGGAGGGACACCACTTGCATTCCATAAAAGGAAACCGGGGCGCAGACCTCGAAAAGGGTTTGCTGGGTTCCCCAGGAGGGGCCTGGAGACCCTTTATAGGACTTAGTTGTCCGGCTTCAGGGCCAGTGTGCCTCAGTCCCAGGCTGCTGTTCAGAGCGCATCTCTGCTCATCCCAAGGGCCCCTGGGAACCTGTCAAGAGGTGTCTGGTTGGGGGTGGGTAGAGTGGGTGGTATGAGACATGTCCGACTCGAGGGTGCTTCCCTTACCTCATCCTTTGACAAAGGCCCAGTGGTGCTGGACAGATGAGGTCAACTGCCATCAACCCTCAGTTAATCCCACCTGGGCTGAGCTTTCGAGGGCTTCCTCAGTCACCACCCCTCACTACCCCTAGGATATAGCTGGCCCTGGTTCTTGGACTCCTCATGAGACGGAGCAGAAACACGTCAATCGGCCACCATTCCTCCTGGCCTCCAAGCGCTCAGGCAATAAGGCCTACCAGATGATTATGGGAAGCTGGGTGAGTGCATCTGGGTTAGGGGAGCATGGTGATGGACAGGGAACTTCTCCCACCTCTTCAGACAGTCCCAACCCGTTGTGCCCCTGACATGGAAGCCCCTTGGGCCTGATATTATCTCTCTCTCACCCTCTCGCCATCTTATTTTTCTAGTCGCTTGTTCTCTAGGGTCTCCAGCTTGAGCAGGCATGGCGGGCTTGTTAAGGGTCGGTTCAGTGGGCCTGTGCCCAGGCTTCTGATTGAGTCTGCCTTGGGGAGGAGGGCAGGAAACGACTCTTCTAACAAGTTCCTGGGGTGTGCTCTTTTCCTTGCCTGTCGCTGTCATCTGGTAATCCCCCAAAGCCACCTGTGTGGGAGAAAAGGCTTACTCTAATTCCGGGGCTACAGTCAGTCAGCACAGGGGAGTCACGGGGTAGCTAGACCCATTACAGCCGCAGTCAACAGCAGAGAGGAATGCATTAACGCATCCATGCCTCCTTGTGTCCAGCCCCCTCTCTATGCTTACACAGTTCACAACCCACACACAGAATGATGCCACCCACAGTGGGTGAGCCTCCATTAATATAATCAACAACCCCCGCCTACCCACCCACCCCCACACAAACACACTCACACAAACACACTCACACGCCAACTCAATCTAGACAACTCTTCATTGAGATCCTCTTCCTGTACGATTGTAGGTTGTTGACAGTTAACACTGATAAGCACACAGAGGCCACCCTTTGAGAACCAAAGAGCCGAGAGGCTCCACCCACCGTACAGCTCTCCCTTTCTCTTCCCTTCCCTGGGCAATGCTTCTCCCTGCTCTCCATTAGTCTTGGGTCTTGGAGGGCAGCTGGTGGAGATGTTAGCTCATTTCTTATGCCCAAGTGGACAAGTCCTCTCCTGTTCCTTTCCCTCCCCGGCTCTTTGTTGTCCCCGGGTGAGTGATGACGCCCTCAGTTTGGTAGTGTTTTCCAGAACAGGCTAGTCCTAGCATTTGTGAACACTTCTTAAACCCTTTCCCCACCAGCTTTTTAGTGCACATTTATCAATCGTATCAATCCAATAATTATACACAAATCCTAAGCGAACAGTTCCATGAGTCACAAAATTGTCTTAGCCTCCCCCCCCCCCATTCACAGGTTTTGCTTCCTGCCTCCAGCAGAATGGGGAAGCTTTGTCCAGATTTGAACTTGCTGTTTTTAAGATCTTTCCTGATTTGTGACAGTCACTTTTTGCCATTGTGAAACAAAACAAAACAAAACAAAACAAAACAAAACAAAACAAAACAAAACTCTGAGCCAAGTGAACTGAGGGAGGAACCATTTCCTTCAGTTCAGAGGTTTCAATCCACAGCAGCTGACTCCATTGCTTTTTTAGGGTTAGGGTAAGACAGAAACACCATGGTGGAGGAAAACTGCCCCCCCCCATTGTAAATGGGAGGAGAGAGAGAGAGAAGTTGAGGGTGTTGATAGGGGACAGGGTCCTATTATACTCTTCAAAGGCATGCCCCCAGGAAGCAGCTTCCTCATCTAGGCCTTACCTTCCAGTAGCCATCATAATCCATTCACCATTAAACTGCATGATTAACTGGGGACCAAGACTTCGGGGGACACTTCACATCCAAGCCATATTCAAACCAAACTTCATATCCATAACATGGTCTCTCTGAGACACATCTTGCTTTTAATTTACTTGCTTTAGCTTTATTATTCTGTTTCCTAGCTCAGCACCCCACATGCCAACCCAATCTAGACAACTCCTCGTTGAGATCCTCTTCCTGTATGATTGTAGGCCGTTGACAGTTAAACCCGGACTTTAATTGTCATTAACCAACCGCTGAGCTCTCAGAATCTCAAGTCAAATGCTTAGCCTGCAGCTGGACAGCTGTGCTGCTGTCCTGCCATCCCAGGGCCGGTGCCTGAGGCTCATTTCTGTTGCTGTGATGTAAAAAGCCCTGGTACAAAGCACCTTAGAGGAAAAGCCACTTTCTTTTAGCTCACAGTTCCAGACTATCGCCTACCATCTCGGGGTGGGGTCGGGGGTGGGGGTGGGGGAGCGGTGTCGGGTCAGGATGAAGGGAGCTTAAAACCATCACGCCGTGGTCAAGAACAGAGAGAAATGCCCACATGTGTGCTGCTCAGCTTATTCTCTCTGCTCCTGTACAGTCCAGGACCCAAACCCAGAATGGTATCGGCAGGTTGGGTCTTCCCACATTAATTAATGAAATCAAGACTATCCTCCACAGGCACGCCCAAGGCCAACCTGATCCAGACAGTCTCTTGTGGTGACTCTAGATTGTGCCAAGCTGACAATTAAAGCTAACTTTCACAGCCAGCCATGCAAAGTGGAAGGAAGGACTATGTGAGAGCCAGTTCCAGAGGCAGGGCGGGAAGGCCCCCTCTGGACACTCCTGCTTGAGAATGGCCTAGACTGGTCTCCTTACCTCCTATCTTCTCTGTCATGATCTTACTATGTCATCTTGAAAGTTATGTCTTGCCTCTGAGCCTCTCATGGCAGACCCATGGGCAGGATGGCCTAGGCATCATTCAATGGAGAACAAACTGGGCAGCCTGGTGAATGGAGCTGTCCTCTCACAGCTCTGGATCCCGGAAGACCAGAGTCCATACTGCCTATGAAACTGATGGTTTCATGAGAATCCTTCCTTGCCTCTTTGCAGCTTTTGGTGGCCAGAGACCCTTGGCTCTCCCAGCTTATGTCTGGACCACTCTGATCTCTACTTCTGTGTATGATCATCTCCCCCATTGAGTGCCTTGTCTTACAAGGACCTCTGTCATATTAGACCAGGGTCCCACCTGCTCCAGTATGACCTCATCTCAGCCCATTATATCTGCAACAACCCAATTCTCCAATAAGGCCACTAAGATTAGGGCTTAAGCACATTTTTGGGATTGGGGGGAGGACACAATTTGATTCATAACAGTTGCGGGGCGGGGGGGGGGGGGTTCTGGGGCCTGAAGGGAGGAGAAAAGGCCTGAGGGCAAGTCTCCAAGCCATGCTCACTAACATCCTGTTGTATTCTCCCTGGACAGAACCCAGTTGGGGTAGGCCGCTACCTCAACACCACGCTATTGGAGACCAAAGACAGCCGGCAGCGATACCGTTCTCTGTTCCTGAACGGATCCAAGCGCTACCTGGAAGACCCAAGCCGAGACCACCTCCTGCAGTGAGTATAGCTCACTGTAGCTCCTGGAGGGGGCTGAGGGGAGGGAGTATGACCCTGGGTGGCCTGGAGGAGGGGCATGCTCGGTTCCCATGCCAGCCACACCCAAGAGACCCCGGAGACGTTCAGTTTAGATCTCGGTTCAGCACGTACTGGCTGTGGGAGCTGAGCTGGGCTTTGTGTCCTTCCGCTGTTAAGTGAGCGGATGGCTGAGAAGATGGGGTGATCAGTCTGGGATGAGGAAAAGGCTCCTGGTTTCAATCCTCTACCACCAGGTTTAGCCCTAGGTGCTCGCATCTCACAGAACCCCAGGTTTTTGGTGTTTGTCAAGGGTTGGTAAAAGTCATTTTAGGGCACCGTGGAGCCTAAGCATGAAGGGCACATGAAACCCTGTGGCAAACGATGAAGAAGTCTCAGATATCAGCGATGGCCATGTTTTATTGATCTAAGAGAGCGCTGGCTAAAATAGAATTTCCATGGTAGATTTGCTTGAATTTGATGGAACAAGAACTTTAGAATTGAGTGTTTTCTTTCTGGGAAATTATGGAGTGGACAGTATGAGGACCCGGTGCTGGGCACCAGATGATTTGCTCAGAGATTTGTTTGTTTGTTTCTTTTCCCATTTTTCATGTGCGTGTGGGTGTGCGTGTATGCATGTTTTTGCATGTATGTGTGTGTGCATGTATGCATGTTTTTGCATGTGTGTGTGTGTGTGTGTGTGTGCCTATGCATGTGGAGACCTGAGGTTGATATTGAGATTCATTCTTCAGTTCTCTTCCACCTTTTTCATTGAGGCAGGGTCTCCCAATCAAACACAGAGCTCACTGATGCACATGTTCTTGCTGGTGAGCTTGCTCTGGGGATCCCCACTCTCCATTTCCCTAGGTGAGCATTAGAGTTAGGCTACTCTACCCACCCAACATGGGATTCTGGGGATCCCAACTCTGGTCCTCATGCTTTTCTGGCAACCAAGCCCTTTAATTGATGAGCCATCTCTAGTTTTTAAATGTAATTTATGACGGTATTATTTGTGTAAAGATAGTCTTTCTTGATTTAATCCTTTGTTTGGGGGTTCTTGAGACAGGGCAGTGGGAAGTAAGAGTTTTAATAGATTTCACATGTGAAAATGCTGTCTACTTTCCTCGCCTTCACAACTGATCCATAGTCTGGTTGGAAATAACCAAATTGGGATTCATTTTCCTTCAGGATTTGGAAGGCTTTGCTGCAGGTTTTCTAATTCCCAGCTTGGTTCTATATCATTCTGGCTTGTGCATGTAACCTGCATGTTTCTTTCTGGAAACTTCCAGGACCTTCTTTGTCCCTGGTGCTCTGAATCTTCATGGTGATGTGCTGTACTGTAGTCTATTTTCAAGCATTGTGCTGGGCAATTGGTGTGTTCCAGTCATCTGGAAGCTCAGGTCCTTCTCCTCTGGGGAAGTTTGATTTTGGGGTTTTGTCTGTGATGATTTTAATGCCCCCCTTTTCTTCTCTCTTTTAGAAATTTGTCAGATGTCTTTATTTGGCATTCTTGGTTTTTTTTTTTTACATGTGTACACGTGTGTAGTGAATGTGCGTGTGTGTATGTATGCATATGAGAATGTGTGTGGGTCCATGTATATGTAAATGTGTGTGCATACATGTGCACATGTGTGTCAAGACTGAAGTTGACGTCAGTGTCTTGATTTGATTTACTGAGGCAGGGTCTCTCAGTGGAATCTAGAACTCCTGGATCAACTAGTCAAGCTAACAGGTTAGCTCAAGGACTTCCTCTCCTACCTCCCCTTTCTGCTCCCAAGTACTGTGTGTAGCCGGAAGTTTTCTCCGGTCTCGCTTATTCCCAAGGTCCCAGAGCTGCTTATAAAATAATCATTCAGAGGCTTAATATTAATTACCAATTGCATGGCCTATGGCAGGCTTCTTGCTAGCTAGCTCTTATAACTTGACCCCTCTCTACTAATCTATAAGCTGCCACATAGCCATGGCTTACTTACTTTTACATCTTGCTTTTCCTGGCAGCGGCTGGCGTCTCCTCTGCCTCTCCTTTCTCCTTTCACTATCTCTTGGATCTTCCTGCCTGGTTCCATCCTGCCCCGCCATAGGCCAATGCAGCTTTATTTCTCAACCAATCAGAGCAACACATATTCACAGTGTACAGAAAGACATCCCACAGCAGCTGTGATTACAGGAGACTGTCACCACCACCTGGCTTCTACATGAACTCTGAGGATCCTAAGTCCTGTCCTCACACTTGGAAGGACTGGAGTTTGGATGAACTTTACACGCTGAGCCATCTCCCTGGCTCCTAGTTTCTTCTTTTCTTTTCTTTTTTCTTCTTTGTCTGCCTTTTCTGTTCTTTCTGATAAGATTTCCTGGTCCTAGTTTTCTAGCCCCGATTCTATCGTATTTTTAATCTCCAAGAGCCTTTCTGTCTTATCACCTGCTCTTTTTTCTTTCACAGAGTAGTTCTGTGCTGTTGACGTAGGATGCTTTCTTACCAAGGACACTCTCTTATCCAAGGAGATACTACAGTTTTTCCTAAGCGTGTTGTCTCCGGCTCTTCTGGGCTCTTCCTTTTTCTTCCCTTGTTCACTCACATTCAAGAGAAACACACTGCAAATGCCCCTATAAGTCTAATGGGGCAGGGGCTGACGGGATCCATCATTCACCTGTCACGCTTCCAGGGCTTTCCCTGGGACCACTGGGATTTCCTGGAGGAGAATCTTCCGTTCTGGGTGAGGCTGGTGCAGTGTGAGTGCTCTGGGGAGGAAGGCTGGGCTCCTCCTGACGACTGCGCTCCTCCCCTTCCTTGGTCCTCTGCCGTCTGCTGTTGCCTGGGCCCAGCCCCTGCCCGGAACCTTTCCACAAGCTAACCTGCTGTCTGTGTCAGGTGGGGAAGAAGGAGGCGAGGAGCCAGCGTGGGCTGGTACAGCTTTCCATCTCCATCTCCATCTTCTCTGTTGGTCTTGGGCCTGCTGTCTGCACTTCCTGGGCCTCCCTGGGGTCTGTGGCAGGGGCTGCATTTCCTCCTGGCCCAGATCTCTCTTTTCATCTTCACAGCCTGGCCGACTCTCCCTTCTCTGTCCATTTCCTCAGACATAGTTACCCCCCCACCCCCCACCCCCACCCCCGAAACCCTGAGTCCCCTCATCCCTCCCCTTTCTCTATAGTTTGCCTGGTCTTTAAGAATTCCTTTAAACACATTTTGGTGGATCTCAGGTGGGAGTGGAAATAAATGTACATATCATCTGCAATTTTAGAATAAAAAAGATTTATTTTATGTGTATGGATGTTCTGCATGGATGTGTGTGCAGCATGTGCGTGCTTGGTGCCTGTGGAAGTCGGAAGAGGGCATCGGATTGCTTGAAGCTGGAGTTCCAGATGGCTGTGAGCTGCCATGTGGGTGCTGGGAACTGTACCCAGGTCCTCTGCGAAAGCAGCAAGTTCTCTTAAGAGCTGAACCCTCTTTCTAGCCCTCCACCTGTCATTAAGGAACACTAATACTTTTAGTGTATAAAAACACCTGTCACCTTTCTGGCCAAGGTGCTTAGTCTTATTTTACACATATTAAACCCAGGCAAGAGAGAGGAAGGAAGCGGGTAAGTTGCCCAAAGTCACACAGCTGGTGAGCAGCAGACTGAGGACCAGAAGCCAGTCTGTCCTCTTCTAGGTCGGCGACTATTCTCCCGTGTCAGGCCCTTGTGAGGATTTGGGAGCCTAGAAAGAGTCATGCCTGGATGATCAAATGATCAAAGGTGTGTGTGTGTGTGTGTGTGTGTGTGTGTGTGTGTGTGTGTGTGCGTGCGGGGAAGGGTGTGCATGCACATGTGTGAGTATGAGTCACATGTATCTGCATATATGTGAGAGTGGGGTATGTACATGTGTGTGCATGCATGTGGGGTCTGGGTGTGAGTGTACAAGTGTGTATATGCATGTAGGGATGTGGGTGTGAGTGCACATGTGTGTGGTGTGTGTGGGTTGCACATACATGTGTGTACATACATGTGGAAGTGTGGATGTGAGTTCCCGTGTGTGCATGCTCACCACATGTGCATGCATGTGGGAGTGTGGGGGTGCATGCACATGTGAGTGCATGTGTAGGGGTCAGAGTGAGTGCACATGTGTGTACATGGATGTGGAGGCTGGAGGTTGGGTGCAGGGAAGCATTCTCATCCGTCCTTACTCCTCAAGGGAGCTGTCGTTGGGTTTCTATTGTGTGAAGAGACACCGTAACCACAGCAACTCTTTTTTTTTTTTTTTCTGAAAATCCAGTTTATTTTCCATGTTGTGGACAGATCCAGTCAGTGTGATCAGGTTTTCTGCATGTGTAATAATTTATCAAAATAAGTTTTCCCACAAGTCTTCCAATCAGCTATGAAAATCCTGATCTGACAATACACCAAATAAAGAAAGCTCTTGACAAGCACCTCCTAAAGCTGGAAGAACACCTGGCACGTCTCCTCTCTCCCATCCACTGCGCCCAGCAACTCTTATAAAGGAATTTAATTGAGGCTGGTTTACAGTTCAGAGGTCTAGTCCATTATCATCATGGCAGGAAACATGGCAGCATGCAGGCAGACATGGTGCTGGAGAGATGGCTGAGAATTCTACATCTGGATCCATAGGCAGCAGGAAGAGGCTGAGACACACTAGTCCTGACTTGAGCATCTGAGACCTAAAGCCCCGCCCACACATACACATGTGACTCACCTCCACCAAGCATACTCCAACAAGGCCACACCTCCCAACAGTGCCAGTCCCTGAGCCTATGGGGACATTTTCATCAAACTGCCACAGTAGGGCCTCTCAATCTAACTCAGAGCTCATAGATATGAACATTCCTGCTAGCCAGTTTGCTCTGGCATCCCATGTCTCTGCCTTTTAGGACTGAAATTACAAACAGGCCACCACTCCCACCCAGCACTTACTCATGTGGGGTCTGGGTTTCCAGACTCTGGTCTTCGCCCTTGTGAGGCAAGAGCTTTAACCACTGAGCAATCTCCTCA